GAATTCCAATTATGCAGAAATAGTTAATCTAATTATTTCTAATTGTGTTTATAATTTTTAAAATTAAAAATCATAATTATTGTTATTAATAATTACGTTAGCTTTAATTTTTCTGTATTATATATATAAAAAAACTAAATATTCATGAAAAAGGAAGCCCAGCTTGCTTCCTTAAGCACAAGTGCTGCAAATGATGCCATTTATTTTTGTAGAAATGCAGTCTGTACATCTAAAGACAGCCCCCAACTGTCTTAGACACACATGCACGCATGCACACACACACACACACACACACACACACACACACACACACAGACAGTGCCTTTGTTGCAGGATGTATTAGAGCACACCGTCACCGCATGTGCGCCAAAATAGCAATTTTTGCAGCCGGCTGCCAGCAGTGACAGGAGATATTTCATCCTGTTGTCAGAATATTATTAATAAAACATCAGGACTAGAGTGCAGCACAATTTTTCCTTTCAATCACTCCCAGCATCTGCCATGAAAATTTCATGCTGTATATAATTTCCACTTAATGTATTGCACTTAAAACGTCGGTGCCAGCAGCGTGTGGGGAGTTTTAAAGGGTTAATTATATCATGTATCTGCAGAATCGGGGAGCCTCTGCTTACCAAACAATGACTTGAGTGATTGTATGCAAATATACCGGTGACCTTTTTGCCTCCCCGTGGTCAATTTATATGGTTATTAAGGTTTTATAAAATGGATGAGCGCAGCACTTTGAGCGCCATTTTCCTGCCTCATGTTGTCCTAATTTATTTCATTTCTCGCGGGGTCTTCCAAAATATGTTTATTTCTCCGTCTCACTCTCTCTCTCTCTCTTGATTTCTCTCTCTCTCTCTTTCTTTCTTCCCCCGTCGTGTGCCGTGTGATGGAAGCTGCATGGGGTGGAGGGGGAAAGACAGGAGTGGTTATCTGGCATTACTCAGCCTGCTAAAAATTCATTAAAATGTGACATCAGCGCAGTGAGAGACAAATGCTCTCTGGATGAAAGGGAACAGTAGGCCTTTCAGGGATTAGAGGCGCACGGCCTCGACCTATCACCTAACAGCATAAACAGATTAATCCACTGGCAGTGCTGCAAAGATACACAGAATTATTAAACACGAGGGGGGGCGACGGGGATGGTTGAGCCTACAGAAACATTTCCATGTAATCTGCCCAGTGCTAACAATCTGAAGAGGTGTGAAGAACATTGTCCCAGGTTTAATGAAACCAGAAGCACCGGTGGTATATTTTGTGTATGCACACACACACACACACACACACACACAGTCGGCATAACCTCTAGTGGGTAACCAAGTGCCCTTCCTGTGTTCAATTGTAGAAGAACCAGGTGAAGACAGCGAGGAATTCCCACAAGCCTCCTCATTGGCCGCAGCCGAGGACAAAGACTCGAGCAAGAGGGACGCCATAGAAGGCAAGACCACAGAGAAGGACTCCAGTAAGACCTTTAGTTTTGGTCTTTTATTTCCTGGTACCCCTATCTCCAGTGTCACTAACACCCAACCTGTTTTGCTCCTCTGTTCTCTTCCAATGGGGCTTTTCCTGCTAATAACAGCTGCATGTGTGGGTTGCATGTGAATGCTATCAGTAGCCTCCCGCTGACCCATTTTAATCATAGCCATCTGATGGCAGAGATGTGGATAAAGGCAAAGAATATTCGGCAGTGGCCAGCGAGATTATTTTTTTTAATCAAATCAGTTTTTTGCGCTTGTAATTTTTAAGCTCCTTTCATTAATCTTTGCTGTTCTTGCGATTCCTCTGATGACATATTAATTTTGTATAAGCGTGGGATTAGATAGTGCTGCAAGTGTGTCGTTTTCTAACCCTTCTTTAAAAAAAAAAGAAAAAGAAGTAATAATAATAATAATTCTGCCGACGCACCACCTATCAGAGCTCATTGTCCTCGAACTGCAGATCTGCATACAAGTCTGACTGGTAGCACATTAGCAAGGGCAACAATCCTTACAAAACAGTGTTGTGTTGAGATCAGGAAACAGCCCCTGGAGCTAGCATCTGGCATCACTACCTAGGGCTCTGTTATATTTGATTTGCCAAATAAGAATTCATATGTGCTTTTTTATGTATGAGATGGAAATATATGGTCGAAATGAATATTACATTAGGCGTCTTTTCATGCACACCATACCTAGCTACATAATGTTGGGTTCAATGGAGCAGAGGAAATGCTGAAACAGGACAGAGCCTATTAGTTTAGCCAGTCGTTTATCTTTTATCCATATAGCCGTGACAGGCTTGTCTGAGGCAGTTCGTACTCAATGCATTTACATGACCTATTACATGCGCCGTCATTTAACGCTGCGGCCCAGATGCAGATCTCACTTCTTAAACCTTAATGTGAATATATGCATGCTAACTTTCTTTTCAGGCTGCTGTGTTCAAATTGAAATTAGGAAATATACATCTCCACATTTTTTGTTTGTTTGTTTGTTTGTTTGTTTGCTTTTCTAATCCATTACTTTGAGGAGCAGTCAAAATGGGTTTTAGGGGTTGCTCTGTTGAACCCATATGTTTAATGTGTTTTCCACCCAATCCCTAATGTGGCTTGGAATATAAACCACCAGGCTCCTGCATATTAAAGAGAGATATACACAATATTCATCTTCTCAGGCAACGTTTCTCAAAACAGCACATTTACTTTGTCGTTTTAATCTAGTGTCACTGTGGATTAATTATAATCCAAATTGCATTTTCCATGCAAATGTCTTAATCTGGATCAACTCCAGATTACTTTGTGCTCTGTTTAGATGTAGCATGGTGGCATGTCACTGTGTTGGCTTCAGGGGTAAAGAGATAATTCCGCAAACACAAGCAAAGATGAAAATTAGCTGTCATTACTACTAAGAACATTTCTGCATACCTGCTGCAAATTAGCAAGGAGATTAAATATTGTTCTCAGATCAGCTTCTTATGAAATTTAAAATAATGCAGCTGAATTAAATAAAACGCAAGACAGATCAAATTCTGCATATTTACCATCAGCATTTGCATGTTTGTTGAGCGTTTATTCAATTTCTGTCTATCTAGATATTAGATTAAAATAAATTAAAAGTATTTGCATATTTCATTGAAGCCCTGCAGCTAGGATTTCAGTTGCTGACTTAATCGATTCGGAAATTCTTGTAGGATGTGCCAAATATGACATCCGTCGGTTTACGCCTTGTCTGAAGTGCGATGGCAAAGCTGATGGACTCGAATGCCTTTTTTTTTTCCACGAGAGGAAAAAGAAAGCATGGCTGCACTGTGCGAGCTGAGAATTTAGAGTGTGGTATTCAAATGTTATCTGCTGAACTGTAGGTCACACTAATGCGCAACCTTAACCTCTTGTCCTTGTAAATCACTAAAGTTCCCTGAGCGTCCCAGGGTCCTGCTTTATTTATTGCCCTGTCACCTCAGCCAGACTGGCTGGACTGAAGACCAGTAAATTGAATAGTAAATTTATGACTCCTTTATCAAGCAAGTCCAGTGTAATTGGCATTTGCAGGGGAAGACATTCTGAAGAAAAAAAATTGCTAGTCATATATAAGCGGCCTGTAGTATTTTTGCAAAAAAAAGAAGAAAAGAGGCGCTTTGAGATATTAACAGGACTCAAAATGGTCTTTGAGATCAAATAGATCACATTAGAGAGATATCTGTTTGTTTGAATTATCAGTTGTGTTTAAAGAAGCCTTGCGTATGTTGCATGATTTAAAAAGAAAAAAACATTGACAGTTGTAAATAAAGATGGGTGGCCAGTCTGTGGCTCTGGTCCCTGTAATGCAAACAGCTTGACTGTCATAAATCACCGTTTGATTTATCTAATCAAGCAAGGTCCTGCTTCTCAAAGACATTTGTCATTCGGATGGGAAGGGGGGCTGTGGTGTCACAATTATTTTCTCTATTGCTTCATTGCACTGCGTGTGTGTCTGTAGACAAAGAAAAAAGGGCATTCTCATTTAGTGTGAGGTACACACACACACACTACACAAAGAGCCAAGCCATTGAGACACAATTCTACATGAAGACTGTTAAAAAATCATTTCATATCAATTGGTATGTTAAAATAACTTGATAGTTAATTTAGCTGACAACACGTCAAAGCAGAAACAGAGCCTGTGTTTGCAAGTGTTCGGTTCTACAAAGGCTTTACTTCATATTTCTTTCCTCGTTTCCTTTTCTGTTTCTAGTCTATCTGCAACCCCCTTTGAATGTTTCTGAAAGCAGAGTGTTGATTATGAAAATAAATCATATAGATGGATCCTCATGTAGAACAGATTAGCCCCCAGACCATACATTTACATTCAGTATGATGGCAATCAATGGAAGGGGCCTCATTGCATTGTGAAATGATTTTGCACCCGGTTGTCCAGGAGTCGCCTCCTCACCCGGGAAATAATTTAGTTGCAGATTGACTGGAAGATGGCGAAAATTGAAAGTTAAAATTAGAAATCCTCGTAATAAACAGAGGGGGGAGAAAAAAGGTCAGATGATGCGGTACAGCAATGAGATTGGGGAGCCTCGCAAATGAGGTTTTCTGTTTGTCATGAAATGCATGTGACGTCCCCCTGCCCCCCCTTAACGCAGCAGCGACATCAAGGCTAGCAGAGAAAAAAAACAGATTACCTAGCTATTTGAGACTGCAGACCATACTCTTGATACTCTTGGAAATTTGTATTGTGCCCTTGTGCTTTTTCCCCTTTTTGTGTCACTTTCTTTGGCAGGTTAATATGTCAGGCTCCTGATATGTAAGACCACAATAAAATAAGCCCGACGTCTTGTAATGCCAAGAATTAAAATGCATGAACATGCAGCAGATATTGAAATACTTAAAATAAATAGAGAGCAGAAAAAAACACTCGCTCCTTTTTTTCCAAACATCTTTTTCAGCATCCATTTTCGATGACTGCTTTGCCAAGCTTTGATTCATAAGAGTAATACACACATTTAGCCTAGAGTGACCAGATTAAAGCGAAGAACAGCAAGCAGGGCTTTCTTTGTGCACTGCATATGCAGCGAGAGGATAAATTGCATTGACTGAGGAGGCTGGGACACTGTCTGTATCTGAGGATACAGGGGTAATGAAAGATTTATCACTCTGTGCAGCATACTCTAAATACAACTGGGGGCTGATTTGCTGAATTGAGCTCAGCCGAAATGGAAATAACATGGCAACCCCCTCTAATACAGAGCGTGAGGCTTGGTTATTCAGGGGCGATGCAGGGAATGGTGATTTGACTGTCTGTATCCCCCAAATGAACTGCATAATGGTACTGTGACCTGCGATGCAATAACAATGAATTCGAACCTCTATTTATTTGTGAATATCTTCATTGGGTTGCTTTTGTGCATTAGATATAGTGATATAGATTTTTTTTTGCTGGATCCTCTAAGTATTCATGCTCAAAATCAATACACACAATTTGTCTGTGGTGTAATTCAATTTAAATTTGTCGTTATTTTGTGTGTTTTTTTGTCATAAATATCACATCCATTTTATTTGCTAAATAATATCTTATAATTGGAGAAGCCCCAATAACCTTTTATCAGATCTACATTCCTAGAAATAAGCTCATTTTACCCAAATGTGGTGTTTTATTAAAGTGAGGGTCCTTGTACCTCTGTCAGGAGATTTTCAGCATCAGGAGTCCAGAATAAGCTTGTGACAGAAGATATCCTATCTGTTTGTTCACAGGAATTAATACACTGGCTAAGGAAACCCTGGGGATTGCTACAGCAGGGAAGCAGTCGCTTCAGCAGGAGAAAGAAAATGACACTCCACCCAAGAGGCCTAAATCAGCTGAAGAGAAGACGCTGTCCAATGAGCAGGTTAGTTACTCTGATCTCTTTGAGGGAAAAAAGGGTCTTGATAACAAGTCTGAGCCCTTTTCTGTAAAGAAATTCAATTCCAGCATCACATTATTTTAATTTTATTTCTTTTCTTTGTTAAAAATAAATTATAAAGCGTACAGGACATACTGAACCAGGTCTGAAAGGGCCACATTAAAACATGTAGCGAGAAGTTTAAACATACTGCACTATAAGTAGCAAAAATAGGTAGCGTAAGCTAAAATAGCTTTCGTCAACATCATTTTTAATCTTCTGATTACAAATTCCAGGCATTCATTTGCTTGCTTACTTGATTAGATTTTTAATTAAGTTACGTGAAATGAAAACCTAAGTTGCAGCATGACTCATGGTCATTCTGAGCAGTGTTATGATATGATAAACTCTTGTCTTTTCAGGTGCAGCAATGCCCATATTGTAATTACAGTAATAAGGATGCAAACCGTTTACAGCTGCACATCATGTCCCAGCATTCTATGCAGCCGGTCATCAGCTGCCCCTTGTGTCAGGATGTTCTCAGCAACAAGATTCACTTGCAGCTGCATCTCACCCACCTTCATAGCGTGGCTCCTGACTGTGTGGAGAAGCTACTTATGACAGTATGTGAAGCATTTATTAATTTTCTATTAACATAAAATATAGTAATATAAGCTGTCTGCATTACTCACTAGATCTTATTCTGGCAGGGTTCGCACAAATATGCATTTCACAGGCCTAGCATATTCTCCAAAGATTATGTTATGAACTTAAAAATTCTCCTCTTACAATCAGAAAACAGCAGTTTTGAAAATGATTTTAAAGTCTCTGTATCTCAACTTATTTTAAAGCTTAACTTTCTAAATTAATACATTTTTTGTAAATGTTTTTTTTTTATTGTTTAGCACAGATGCAATATGATTTTTATGTGTTTTTCTTCAGGTTGCAGGTCCAGATCTTCCAGTGCCCAGTTCCTTGCTGTCTGCATCATTACAAGACAAAGTCCCATCCCTGATGGATACTTCAGCTGTTAACCCAGAGGGATCTGGAAAAACCATGGGTAAGCACATGCAGCCACAGTGTCATCTGAAATGTATGAACCACATCACAGATTTTTCTTTAGAAATAACAATTATCGTTTATAAATGAAAATTCTGAAATATTTTTATTCTGAACTTCAACAGGTAACAGCTCTAAGGATTTGAAAAACGGTACAGGTCAAGACAAAAGTGAGGTTGACCTTACCAGTGAGGAACTGAAACCACTAAAGGAGGCTGCTGAGGCTCCTGATTGGAAGAAAGCAAGTGGGCAAGATAGGAAGAGCCCAGACGCCTTGCAGGAGCACCTTAGCGATCTGCAAAAGCGGCAGCAGCTCTCAGTCTCTGATCGCCACGTCTACAAATACCGCTGCAACCATTGCAGCCTGGCTTTCAAGACTATGCAGAAGCTTGAGATACATTCCCAGTACCATGCCATCCGTGCAGCCACCATGTGCACTTTGTGCCAACGCAGCTTCAGGACATTCCTTGCCCTCAGAAAGCATCTGGAGACTGGTCACCCGGAGCTGACTGAAGCCGAAGTGCAGCAACTTTGTGGAAACCTGCCCCTAAATGGTGACATTTCTGAGAGCGAAATGCGGGCCCTGGAGGAGGCACAAGCCTTTGAGAATGAGCTAGACAAGGATGAGGAGCTTGACCAAGAAGGAAAGGCCAGTCCAACTGGAAGTGACAGCAGCTCTTTGCTTGATGACATGGGCTCAGAGCCAAAGCGGACCTTACCTTTTAGGAAAGGCCCAAATTTCACCATGGAAAAGTTTTTAGACCCTTCACGTCCATACAAATGCACAGTATGCAAAGAGTCCTTCACCCAAAAGAACATCCTCCTTGTTCACTATAATTCCGTCTCACATTTGCATAAGCTAAAGAAAGTCATCCAAGAGGCCTCAAGCCCAGTTCCCCAGGAGACCAGCAACAATGTTGACAACAAACCATACAAATGCAATATCTGCAATGTTGCTTACAGCCAAAGCTCAACCCTGGAGATTCACATGAGGTCTGTACTTCATCAAACTAAAGCACGCACCGCCAAATTAGAGACTAGTACCAGTACTGGGAGTGGAAGCAGTGGAAGTACTTCATCTAAAAGCCCTGTTCCACCCAATCACGGAAACACTGATTCTGCAAGTGCTGCACCAGTATCCACTAACAAAGAAAACACTGTAGATGCCAAAGAAGTTACCATGAAGCAAACTACTGAACACATACCTGTGCAGCCCAACCACCCACCAACCCAGTCACCAGCACAGCTTCAGATGCAACTACAGCATGAACTCCAGCAGCAAGCTGCTTTCTTTCAGCCACAGTTTCTGAACCCAGCGTTCTTTCCGCACTTCCCTATGACACCAGAAGCACTACTGCAATTCCAGCAGCCCCAGTTCCTCTTCCCATTTTACATTCCTGGTGCTGAATTTAACATCAGCCCCGAGCTTGCATTGCATTCAGCTGCGTTTGGGATGCCTGGAATGACAGGATCATTCCTTGAAGACCTGAAGCAGCAGATGCAGCAACAACATCAGCTGGGCCAACAGCAACAGCTTCAGCTTTCTCAGCAGCAAGCTCAACAGCAGGCCTCCCAGTCTCAAATGCAGCAGCAGAAAGTACAGCAGCAGAGTCACAAGCCTAAAACTGAGTCCAACCACAATGTCCTCTCTGAGATTCAAATGTCCAGAGATGCCGAAGAGCACCTAGAAAAGCAGGAAGGCAAAGCAAAGCAGGACACAGCTAATGAAAATGATAATGGGAAAGATGCTAAAGATAACAGAAAGCCAAAATTTTCAGAACCTCTGATTCCTCCACCACGCATCATCTCAGGAGCTAGAGGCAATGCTGCAAAAGCATTACTAGAGAACTTTGGCTTTGAATTGGTAATTCAATACAATGAGAATAGACAGAAAAGCCAGAAAAAGAACAAAGAGGATGAGTTAACCGACAAACTGGAGTGTGGGCTATGTGGAAAATTATTCTCCAACATGCTTATTCTCAAAAGCCATCAAGAACATATCCATGGCCAGTTCTTTCCATATGTGGAGTTGGAGAAGTTTGCACAGCAGTACAGGGAAGCATATGACAAGCTGTACCCCATTAACCCAGCATCTCCAGAAACTCCCCCTCCACCTCCACCACCACCACCACCACCTCCTCCTCCTGCCCCTTTGAATACTCTCCCTGCTAATGCATCTGTAGGTAAATCGCAGACACCATCGCCAGCACCTATACAAACTCCTCAGCAAGCCCCTCAACCTCCTCCTCCACCACCACCTCCACCGCCAACTGCACCTCCTCAAGTGCAACTCCCTGTTTCTCTTGACATGCCAATTTTCCCACCATTGATGATGCAATCAGTGCAGCACCCTGGGCTACCCCCACAGCTTGCGCTGCAGCTTCCAACAATGGACTCTTTATCTTCTGACCTCACACAGTTATGTCAACAGCAACTGGGACTGGATCCAAACTTCCTGCGGCAGTCTCAGTTCAAGCGTCCTCGCACCAGAATCACAGATGATCAGCTAAAAATTCTCCGTGCTCATTTTGATATCAATAATTCTCCCAACGAAGAGCAAATTCAAGAAATGGCAGACAAGTCTGGCCTTCCACAAAAAGTCATAAAGCACTGGTTCCGCAATACACTCTTTAAAGAACGTCAAAGAAGCAAAGATTCCCCTTACAATTTCAACATTCCACCCATGACCACACTGGAAGATATCAGACTTGAATCCCAAGTAAACTTGCTGGAGTACACCAGAATTGATTCTGCTTCGAACAAAAGGTCATCAAGAACACGTTTCACAGATTATCAACTGCGAGTACTCCAAGACTTCTTTGATACCAATGCTTATCCTAAGGATGATGAAATTGAGCAGCTCTCCACGGTACTCAACCTGCCAACACGAGTGATTGTGGTGTGGTTCCAAAATGCCCGACAAAAGGCCCGCAAGACCTATGAGAACCAAGCGGATACAAAAGAAAGCGAAAAGAAAGAACTAACAAATGAACGATACATTAGGACCAACAACATGCAGTACCAATGTAAGAAATGCAGTGTCATTTTCCCCCGAATCTTTGACCTGATTACTCACCAGAAAAAGCAGTGCTATAAAGATGAGGATGATGAGGCGGGAGATGAACACATCTTAGAAGATTTATCAGAGAACATCGAACAAAGTTTAGCAAAGCCAATGGAGGCAGCAAAACAGTCTTTTGTGACAGCAAGCAGCTCTGGCTCCAGCTCTCCATTAATGCCTTCCCCCCGACCTGATATAGGGAAAACCTCACCAAAACCTGAGCTTCTTAATGAAAAGAGTAAATTGGGAGAGACTGCCCCTTTACAAACACCTAAGAACCCAAATGAGTTAAAACCTTCTAAAGCTTCAACCCCACAGCCTCTATCACAAAAAGTACCTCAACCACAGTTGTCAAGACCCCATTCCCAGCCACAGTCTACTCCAGTCCCATCAAGTCCTCTTTCACTTGCACTGTCTTCTCTAAACAATAGCCTACCACCACAAATGTTACAGTACCACTGTGAGCAGTGTAAAATAGCTTTCCCAACAGTAGAGCTTTGGCAGGAGCACCAACACATGCATTTTCTGGCTGCCCAAAACCAATTCCTGCATTCACAATTTTTAGAAAGGCCACTGGATATGCCCTATATGATCTTTGATCCAAACAACCCTCTTATGACTGGTCAACTTCTGTCTGGAGCCCTCTCCCAGATACCAACTGCAAGCAACTCTGGTCTTACCATGAACTCTAATTCTTTAAAACGGAAATTAGATGAAAAAGAGGATGGGTCTCATGAAAAAGATGGCCTTAACAGTGCAGAAGATCAGCACAGAGATAAACGTCTTAGGACAACCATTACTCCAGAGCAACTTGAGATCCTCTATGATAAATATTTACTTGATTCAAACCCAACTAGAAAGATGTTAGATCACATTGCTCATGAAGTTGGCCTCAAAAAAAGAGTTGTCCAAGTCTGGTTTCAAAACACCCGAGCCAGAGAGAGGAAAGGACAATTTAGAGCAGTTGGGCCCTCCCAGACTCACAAAAAGTGTCCCTTTTGCAGGGCATTGTTCAAGGCCAAGTCAGCTCTTGATAGCCACATTCGCTCAAGACACTGGCATGAGGCAAAGCAGGCAGGCTTTAGTTTGCCCCCAAGTCCAATGATGCCTCAAGATGATGAAGGTCAAAGTCCCCATAAGTACAGTTTTTCTGACTACTTACAGATGCCCACAAAGATTGAAATGAATGAAAATGAGCCTCCAACTGCATCTTCAACTCCAGTTAAACCTTCTGAGACGCTCTTTAAAAACTTTTTGAACATACCATCCTTGAAAGCAGAACATAGTGATGAACTTGAGGCACTTAACATGAGCTCTGCAGAAGCATCTTTTGATACTAACAAAATGGACTTTGATGAGACATCCTCTATTAACACAGCTGTGAGTGATGCTACAACTGGAGATGAGACCAACAATGAGGTTGAGAATCTCACAATAAATGGAAGTGAGAAAATGATTGAGAACAAATCAAACCAAGCACAAACCTCTGATATGAATGAGGATAGATTCCCTTTCAACATGGTTAGCCCAGCATTAAGTTTCTCTGGTAAAGACAGTGACTATTTCAATTACAGAGATGATGACTTCGATGATAATGCAGACAGGAGCGAGACTTCAAGTCTGGCTGATCCAAGTTCACCCAGTCCGTTTGGAAGTACAAATCCATTTAAGTCTTCAAAAGCTGGTGGAGAGAGACCAGGTCACAAACGTTTTAGAACCCAAATGAGCAACCTACAGCTTAAAGTCCTAAAAGCTTGCTTCAGTGACTACCGCACACCTACTATGCAAGAGTGTGAAATGCTGGGCAATGAAATAGGACTCCCAAAACGTGTTGTGCAAGTTTGGTTTCAGAATGCCCGTGCTAAAGAAAAAAAGTTTAAAATAAATATTGGAAAGCCATTCATGATAAGCCAAGGCTCCCCAGATGGACCAAGGCCTGAGTGTACATTATGTGGAGTAAAGTATACAGCCAGACTTTCGATCCGTGATCATATCTTTTCAAAGCAGCACATTGCAAAAGTGCAGGAAACCCTGGGCAACCAGGTTGATCGAGAAAAAGACTATCTAGCACCTACCACTGTCCGCCAGCTTATGGCTCAACAAGAACTTGACCGTTTAAAGAAGGCAACCGATGTACTCAACTTGCCAGCCCAGCAGCAGCCAGCAGTGGACAATAATGCACTTCATGGCCTTAGCCTGCCAACTGCCTACCCGGGAATATCTGGTCTCCCACCAGTGCTTCTACCTGGTGTGAACGGGCCATCCTCCCTTCCAGGTTTCCCACCAAATACACCTGGTGAGTTAGTATGACAAAAACACAGCGCAGTAGCTTAAAGAACAATTAATGCATCAAATGCAATTAGTGCTACTGCCTCATTTGCTTCCTTTTGAAGGACTGTGATGTTTATTGATTCATTATGACATTTTAATGCATGCATTAACTATAACAACTTGGAATACTTTGATTTTGTCTGTAAAGTTCAGTTGCTTGTGTTGTTTTTATTGTTTATTTTTTCCTTCTTTTTGTTGTAACCCTCTTTTGATAAAGTTCTTGTAACAGTTTTGATCCATAACAAGATAATATAGGCAAAGCCCCAAAATAATGTCTTGAGAAAGAAATTAGGAATGATTCTGCAGTCAATCATATTTCAATATTTTCTATACTACTGTATTTCAGCTTTAGCGTCTCCTGGTGCTGGCATGCTTGGGTTCCCTACTCCAGCCACCCCTTCTCCTGCCATGTCTCTCAGCAGTACCCCAACCAAGACTCTTCTTCAGACTCCTCCTCCTCCTCCTCCTCCTCAACCCTCCGCACTTCCTCTTCCTCCCACTCCTTTGGCAGCAAATCAGACTGAGCAGCACATAAAAGAATCTGAGAAAGACAAGAAGTTAGAGAAGCCCAAGGTGAAAGAAAGAGAAGCTGACACTGCCCGTCCCGAGACACCAATTGTGAAGAAAAAGGAAAAGCCCTCGCCGCCACTTTCAATGCTAGGAAAATTGGGAAGTGAGGGTCAGATGGACCCAGCACAACTGCAAGCACTTCAGAATGCCATTGCTGGTGACCCTGGTTCCTTCTTAGGGGGACAGTTCTTGCCTTATTTCATCCCTGGCTTTGCATCTTGCTTCTCACCCCAACTTCCTGGCGGAGTGCAGGGGGGATACTTCCCTCCTCTGTGTGGAATGGAAAACCTGTTCCCGTACGGCCCTGCGATGCCTCAGGCTATTGCTGGGCTTTCTCCAACTGCCCTGCTGCAGCAGTACCAACAGTACCAGCAGTCCCTCCAGGATTCCTTACAGAAGCAGCAGCATCAGCAGCAGCAGCAGCAGAAACAAAGTGAGCCGCAGCGGAAAACCCCTGCCCCTATGAAGTCAACGAGTGCGCAGAGCAATTCTCTCAAACCAAAAGAGACTGTCGAAACTAAGGATGATAAAGGCTCTTCAACAGAAAGCACAAACGAAGAACCCCAAACCAATACCAAAAGTTCAGGCTTTCCAGATGCGTTTATCGTTCCATCTATCAAACATGAGTTTATATGCAGAAAGTGCCAGATGATTTTTGCTGATGAAGACTCAGCAGCTCGCCACCAGAAGTCCTTCTGTTACTTTGGTCACCCTTTTATTGATCCGCAAGAGACAGTGCTTCGCAAGGCTGTGAGCAAATACAATTGCATAGCCTGCAATGTGTCCGTCAGCGGGAATGAAGCACTTGGCCAACACCTTCAGTCGAGCTTGCACAAAGAGAAAACAATCAAACAAGCAATGAGAAATGCCAAAGAGCATGCTAGATTATTACCTCACTCAGTCTGCTCCCCTAATCCTAACACCACATCTACCTCGCAGTCTGCAGCTTCTTCTAATAACACCTTGCCTCATCTCTCTCACTTGTCCATGAAGTCCTGGCCAAATATTCTTTTCCAGGCCTCAGCCAGGAAAGCTGCTTCCTGCCCATCTGCTTCTCCTCCTCCCCTTTCCTTGCCTTCAACGGTTACCTCAACTTCGTGCAGCACCTCAGGGGTTCAAACCTCACTACCCACCGAAAGTTGTTCAGACGAGTCTGACAGTGAGTTAAGCCAGAAGCTGGATGACTTAGATAACGCGTTGGAAGCCAAGGCTAAGGCAGCGTCCGGCCTAGATGGCAATTTCAGTAGTATGAGAATGGATATGTTCAGTGTGTAGGAGTGAAAAACGGATCCCTTGCTTAAACGAAAAAAAAAAGACTTTTAACTGCAGTTCCAAAGTTTCTCTAACCCAAAAAATTACAGTACCAAAAGATTGACTCAGGATTGTTTTTCCCATATTGATATGCTGGCAAGAAAATGATTGATTTTTGTTATGGACAGAACTGTTGCAGATGCTTGACTGAGCTTATATTGTATACAAAAACAAGGAATAGGAAAACTCACAAGTTCTTTTGGAGCTTGATTCAAGCCAAAAATTCTCACGATAGCAAATTGCACCTCAGCTGGATTGATTTCCAAATGCTAGCATGTACTGTATGGGATAATGATCCAGAACTTTCAAAGAGAGTTTCTCTTAGTTTAGTTAGGTGTAATTCAGTAGCTTTAAATTCTCAGGTCAGAACATAACATTTCTCATTTGTTGAAACAGCGAAGAAGCCTGCTTATAAATGGCTTTTACCAAAACATGTCAAGCTTTATTGGAGGCATTTCCTTGATGTGTGTAGTGTACCAAGAGACAATATAACTGTTACAGGACAACGCGCATATCCTTTTAGTTTGCCCTACGAGAGAGTATGCTTTTACCACTGAGGGAATTTAGAATGGTGAAGTCATGTGTATGCCCCCTGTGTTTGCCAGTTTGTATTGCCACAAGCTGTATTTATATACGACACCCTTTTTTCTTGTAGAATATACTAATAATCTGTGCCAACTCTTACCTTCTTTCTTTTACCTCTCATCACACCCTTTTTCCGAAGAGGTAATAATTCTAGTTTTGATAGACTCTTGAAGATTATGTGAATAGGACTTTTTTTTTTTTTCATTTGTGAATTGCTATAATGTTACGGTACTTGCTTGTGTCTGGACTATAGTGCACTTATTTGATTTCTTTTTTTTTTTTCTTTTTTTTGAGGTAGGCCATGTCTTAATTTAATAGATATATCAGTTTTATGTGTTTGTTTGTTTGAATTATTATTTCTTTGTAGATCAGCAGCAGATTGATCCACATTTGTTAGACGTTTCACACCTAACAATCCAGAGACATTTAACAATTGGTGCATCCATGAAAGTAGTACTGTATACTTGAAACTGAAAAAGTGCAAGTTGGACAAAATGTGTTGAAAATGGTCTGAACATTTGCTTCTTTTAAACAAGAAAGCTGCTTTAAGAAAGGGGGGACAAAGCATTTGTTTTATTAAACAACAAAAAAGGTGTTGTTTGTTTTTTTTTCCTGTACTTCTGTAGAACTGAACACAGTGTTACCCCTATACACTGCCATTTAGTGGATAGGCTGTTTCTTCCATTCTACTCTGGGCACTTCTGTTAATGTCATGAACATTTTCCATCATATTTAGTGATACTTGGATTACAAAGTATTATCTTATGACGTTTTGCTGCTACTGTGTAATGTTTTTTTGTTTGTTTTTTTAATCGCTTGCCATACATTTTCAGCTTCCTCCTAGACAGAATACTGATTCGTCATGAATTACATTGCTTTACTGTTTTATTTTATTTGCGTTGTTTTGGCTGTGTAACTTAAAGAATGTGAACGCTGTCAAGGGTGTTTAATTTTTACGAATCACTTTCTGGTTTAATACAGTCGGACAATGTGATTCATTCCAAAGTAACAGAAGGCTTAATGTATGAAAGAAAAAGGCTTGTGAACAAAGAAAGCTAAGCTGTTGTACATATTCGTAGTTGGCTGTGCATGGTACAAATTTATTAATATGAAGAAATGCAAAAATGTATTGCTTTTGGTATTCCTATTCTGAGATGAACAAGTAGCATGTAATGCAACTGTTTGACAGGTTAAATCAAATCATGCTTAAAAATTGTTTCAAACGATGAAATTAAGTAACATTTCATTTGACTTTTTATTGCTGTACAGGTGATTCTTTTATTGTTTGTTTGTTTTTTTTCTGTTCAAAGGTAAATGTCAGTTTTTAAATTCTCTTTTTGTGGACTTTTTAATGTTCTTATTTGGAATTTTTAATATTTTAATGCTTATTTTAATCCTGAAGACACTTTTTGATTGTGTTTCACAAGAGACATCTTGGCCTCCTAAGGTGCAATCCTGCCTCTGTCCAAAACATGAGCGACTGTCCTGATTCCAAAGGCTTTTAGAACTCGGCTTTTGCCTTTCCCTGAATGTGGAACAGCATTTATAGACTGAGCTGTCAGCTAACACTGTGTGCTAAGGTGTTAGCCTGGACCAGAATGCTTCCCACACAAAGGAGACTGGTAAAGCAAAAAAATAAAAATAAGAAAAGACAAAAAAAAAGAAAAAAAAACGACAAAAAAAGAAAAAGACAAAAAACAAAACAAAACAAAGGATGGTCCAATAATGTAATTGTACATAAATGTTGCAACTGCACAGCAGCCAAAAAACCTTTCTACGGATGGATAGTGTCAAGCATAGGAGGACAGCCTTCTAAAGGTTGATATTAGGATTGTTCTTCTGGATATCAAAGGGATGATCAAGGCGTAATCATATTCTACACAATACGTACTTTCAACGCCTGGGTAACATAGGAAATGCACCCCAAGGTTTTAATAAAAAAAGATGCCCCTATGGCGAAAACTTTAAATAAACTAAACCAAAAATGTTATTGATGTTTTATATATAGAGAGTAGTCTCATTAGTTTTTGTTACTGTAATGTTTGAGGTCTCAGCTGTACCGTATTACGGTAATAACATGGTTTTGAAACTTTTTTTATTTTGTCACAGACCTGTTGTCATAGTTGAAATGACGTTTATTGTAGATGGTATTTGAACAACTTCTTCTGGAAATAGTTCATCAAGTATGTTTGTTGCTCATTGTTGTGATACATTAAAAACTGTATCTGCAAACCACTTCTGAGCCTGGCATCCGTCTCCTTGTTTCTTTACACCTTCACTACATTTTAGCTAGCGCCACATCGCACGTAAAAGGCACAGCTCATCCGCTCCATCCTTAGCCTGAGCTCATGCTGCCAATGAGCTAGAGAAGAGGTCACATTATCCCTAAATCCACACTGAGAACATTTTTAATTTCACATGGTATGCCTTTACATGTTATTTGCTTGTAATCTGGCTTTATCCAGATGCGATGGATTATCTGTAGAAGTGTCAATCTTAAGAGCCTTTCTGCAGGTATTTGTCTAAGCTTCTCCCCTGGAAGAGATAATGGATTATTCTGCAATCTACCAAGCAGATCGCCCAGTTTTTTTTGCTACCTAATGCAAAAATTTACTTTTTTGTAATCATTTGTAAAACTCACAATAAGGCAAAGTAAAGTCATGTAATTGTGGCAAACTGTATGTAAAAAGTTATAAAACTCCAACGTGTAAATTCTGTAATTTTTTAGTCACCCTCATGTTGTTCCAAAATCTTTTGTGCGAACACAATAAGATATATTTTTATGAATGAAATAAATAATTAAATTTATTTATTTAAGTTTATTTAGGTTTTTTCTTCACCTTTATCCTACTCTACAGGGAGGTTCTAGTAAGTCAGTTTGGTTACTACAAATGAACTACAAACCTTAGAAATTTAAAATTACAGGTGATTTTTTTAATAATGATATACTCTAAACTTATGAAGGATGGTTTTTGTAGCATATCATCTGGCCACTTGCAGGATTGTATAAATCTATTATTATAAATATTATTAATATTGTGCACTGTGCACATAAAACTAGTTACTGGAATAGTTTTAGACAGCTGCTTAGAACGAAGACCCACAATATATATATATATATATATATATATATATATATATATATATATATATATAGCCTTTGTTTGTTTTATTGTTAAAAGCTAAGTTTTAAGTTTCAATTAAATGGTGAACATGAATAAGATTGTGTTTAAATGTACACTTTCACCCGACAATGCAGACTTTGGTGAGCAAATCAGGTCAAAGACAGTTTCGGCTTGACTAATGTATTCATAATTGAAGTGCCCTATGTTAAAATTTGATTGTTTATGTTTTTATTGCATTAAGGTATCATTTTAAAAAGTTATATTGCATTAGTTAATACAATTTAAAGTAATGTTTTCTATTTATTTCGTATTATACTTTGGTATATTTGGCCCACGCCTGATATTTACTTTTGGCCCTTCATACGAAAAAGTTTGGACACTCCTGGTGTGTATCTTATGTTACGCTGCAACATAAGTATGAATAGGTGCATTTGGGCTTTGCTTTTTTTTATCCAATTGTATTTCTATAATGTTTCATGAGCTTAAATTAGGTCAGTCTTCTTGACGTACAAATGTAAATGCTTCTGTTCATTTTGAAGCAGCAGAGTTCAAGCTGAACATATTTTTAAAAGAAAATGACAAATTTTGCTTAAAAAAGGACAGAAATCTCAGATTTCATAAAAAAAAGAAAATTTGTTCGTAAAATCAACAAAGCTTTATGGTTTTGGAACAACATGAGGATCAGTAAATGGTGAGAGAAATTTGATTCTGTAGCGATCTAATTAATTAACTTGATTAAAAATAATACTATAATAATAAGGTCTTCATGATCCAACAGCAGCTAACTTTCATTCCCAGTAGTCAATATAAAATGTTTCTCATTCAAAAAACATTTTTTTGATTGTTCAAACAATTTAAAATATTCTGAAAAAGCACAATTCTTGAGATTTCATTGGGACAACTTTAATTTGTTATGTTAAATTAACATAAATTTGTTAAAAGTGTTAAATGATTTGTTTTGGGACAACATGAACGAATTGTGTGGAACACTGGCTTTTTTTTTCACAGTGAGAGGCATTACACCCAGATATTTTTGGGTTGCGAATTTCTGGGGTGTGAATAGTTTTATTCAGCGTTATTTGCATATTTGGCCATATATATTTTTTATTCTAACAGATGTTTCCCACAGATCTGTTTTGCAGTCTAGTGTTGAGGGCGCTTAGATGTCATTGCTGTTATTTTTCCTGTATCTTCCAGCTGTGCAGACTGAGGGTCACGCTATTCAGTGATTGGATAGGGTTTGACCTTTGGAAGAACAATAGCAGAAGGCATTTCAGTTCTGCCCTTCCCCACACCTTCTCTCTATCTTTCCACAGTTGTTTGCTGACATTTAAGACTCACAGCTCGACCCGGTAGCGCTGAACGTAGCCTGCATCATGTGATCTCTGTGAATCATTCTATTGTATTGCTCGAGACTGAGAGGACTTCTGTTAATCCACAGATTTACACTTAAGAGTCCACCTGTTCTTTGTATTCAAATGGTTTTAAAGCACAAAAAAGCACTATTTTTAGATATCTATTTTCAAGGGATTATCTGTACATTCCTTTAAATAAATGGATTTCCAAATCAACCAAACTGACAATTGAAACTAACTGCAGGCGAAATTAGTGTTTGGCAGAGTACATGTCCATAATTTTGATTTTGGTCAATTTTATTATGAAGGTGTATATGTATATATATTGTGCCTGATTATCCAACAATTAAACTTTCTTTCTCAATTATTGACTGATAAAAAGAGATTCCCAAACTGTTCTTAGCAAATTTCTAATATATGAGGGGAAAATATTAAACAAATAATTTTAATTCGTCCAATCTTCAGATTTTAATTTATTTATTGGTTTATCTTTGGCAAAAAAGATGTATGCAAATTAGTACATTTAATGAAATAATGCCTTGTGAGCATTTTTAACATTTTACAAAATGTGAAATACAAAAAAATAAATGATATCAGTCAACTATTATTTCATTAGTTCATTTGTATTTTGGGTTCAATCTGTCCATATAGAATGCTTGACTTATAATGGCGGTGCTTATGCAGTCAAAGAGCTGATGCATTGTACGTATGCTAATGTTTATTGACACATTTATGGTTGATATTTTCTCAAGCCATTTGTTGGGTCTGGGGAGAGTAAACTGAAAAAAAAGTGATTGGATCTTTGTCTCTCCTGCCACTCAAATCCCAAGTGTAGAATACTAATTTCTGCATTTGGTCCCAGAACGCAAGTCTTTTGTAATAAACTGATTCAATTATAATTAAATTCAGCACATGGGAATGTATCATTGCTGCATGAGCCATACTTTACAGTTGCAAAAATTACATTATCCAAAAAAAACATGAGATTTATATTGAAAATAAGCTTTGAAACTTAAAAACAAACAAAAACATATGTATTGAAATGTATTTAGTCTATTATTTTATGTCTGAATGTTTCCCCCCAAATATTCTCAGTCCTTCTTTAATCTTTCCTCTCACCAGTGATCACAAGAGCTATTTTGGTTTGTTCTTTGATTCATAAACTTGTTCTGTTCCCACACCTGTGCTTCATTTAGCATGTGCACCTGAGCAGTCCCGCCAGATGTGTGTGCTCACATTTGAGATAAAATTGCTTATAATTTATGCTGGCCTGACTGAAGAGGCCTTGTATTAATAGAACATTTCTGCATTTGCACACAAGAGATCAGTTCTCTAAGTCTAATTGATCCAAAGAACTTTTAAGGTGTTAAATTCAAATGTATTTATTTATATATATAAAAAAAAAAGCTTCTAGCTTTACGGTGACATGTAATTATTCTATCAATCATTCATTCATTTTCTTTTCGGTTTAGTCCCTTTATTGATGTGGAGTCTCCACAGCGGAATGAACTGCCAACTTATCCAGCATATGTTTTACACAGCAGATGCCCTTCCAGCTGCAACCCATCACTGGGAAACATCCATACACACTCATTCATACACATACACTACAATTTAGCCTATCCAATTCACCTATACCACATGTTTTTGGAGTTGTGGGGGAAACCGAAGCACCTGGAGTAAACCACCGCCAACACGGGGAGAACATGCAAACTCAGCACAGAAATGTCAACTGACCCAACCAAGGCTCGAACCAGTGACCTTTTTGCTGTGAACCAGTGACCTTTTTGCCACTGCACCACCGAGCTGCATGTAGTAATTGTGTTTTAATTTTTTTTGCAAATGTTTCAACATTATTAAAATTAAACAATATACTAAATGTTTATAGCATATATAAATATAAAAATAGAAAAGTAAATACAAAATAAATTACAAAATTGTTTTAACTACAAAAACATTAAACAAAATCACATGAATTCAAAAAAATGAATGAATGAATAACTAAAATTAACAAATATACTATTGTTACCAGATTTCTTATTTACTTCAAACCAGCTTCAAATGTAAGCACATTTTTGCCTCTTTTTTTTGTCAGAACACCTCGCTCTTCTGCATTTTTTTAGGTCCTTTTCTATCACAAAATGTCTTTTTCAAAAGTTAAGATTGAAAAAAATTTATTTGGCGTCGTTTAAAAATAAAATAGTAGTATAATATTAATTATATTCCCTTTATACACACATTTGTCAGCTCAATGCATCTACAATATGGTTATTACCAAAGTAATCTCACGCCAATTTGTAACTTTTTAATTTAATGGCTCATTCGTACATTTTAGTATGATTTGCTCATCCCCCAATGACAGTAGGGCTTAGGGTTGGGGTTTGAGGGCATGCCTCCTTTTAGAAATCACACATTTTCATATGAATTGAATAGTATGAATTTGTACCAGTGGCGGTTCTAGTTTAAATGGCACCCCCCACCCTCAAAAAAAAAAAAAAAAAAAAAATATATATATATATATATATATATATATATATATATATATATATATATATATATATATATATATTCATTTTCAGTAAATATAACACTTTATATTTATTAAAAATAAATGAAATTATTATAATTGTTATAAAATTATTTTTCTAAATAAATAACAGAAAACAATCCTAAATTTAACAGAAAAACAATTTAGACACAACTGCAGTGATATACCAAGTTAACTTAAGAAATCTTTTGCATGAATACTAAATCTATAG